TATATGCTATTAGGCTTATTAGATACTCAAACCTTACTCATGCAAATGCAAGTGTGCCCATTCAGTGTATCTAGCCAGTAGAAATATCTTGACTAACACTCATTTCCATGAAGAAAAAGTATTTCTAGCACATTATATACTAATTAATAAACTTTCTTATATTGATTGGAGTTACAAATAGTGCTCCTCTGAAGTGGCTTTTCCATTAGGGTCCTTCAAATGCTAGCTAGCTCTCCTTGGAGTGTTAGTCCTGATTAGTGTACTTGAAATATTAATCAGTTGTCCCTAAGGGGCAGATAAAATTAACACATATTTATTTACTCCTGTACATGTACCCTCACACATATCACATTCTCTATTCTGATGTGACCTGAGAATAGAAAATTGGTTTACTACTGGGACTAAGAGTGCCATTCAACCCTTTACTCCGTCTATGGGAAATAATGGGATTTGAGAAAATTGTTTCTGGAACTTCCCATTATAACTTGAAATGTATTTGGTTACAGAAACAAGGCCAGTCTTGATTTGGCTTAAAATGGATCTGCTGGTTTTGCATTTCTGGACCTTTATGGGTTGAATAGGCATTGAAGGCTTCCTTCATAACTATCATGAAACCCAAACTATGTCTTCCCATTTTTCTTTTCCTGATCCTTCAAGTACATGTATTGCACAAAGGTGTAAGCAGCAATGTAGAATTTACTGACAATTTCATAAGATAAAATGAGGAGAGGGTCTAATATCAAATATTCCAGTGTAAACTCTCAAAATTCTCATGAGACTTTGATCTCCTTTCAGGTATCTCTACCTCTCCTATAATCCAACAGAGAGCATCCCCTCCCTTTCCCTTACCTCAGATGCTGCCCAGGGCCTTCTGATTCTGTCCCTTCTCTCCCAAAAGCAAAAGGTTCCCTTTTCTTTCATATGGCATGATAACCCTACATTTTTCTCTGAATCCTAGATACCAACTGATAGCACAGGCCCCAAAGCCCCAGCCTCCATGATTAATGAATTTATCAAAACAGCAAATGTAAGTCTTTTCCTCTGGAGGATTTGTATGTCAGCAATCTAGAAAAATAAAACAAAATTGCCCACATTTTACATCTGTCCTTATAAAAAAATAGATTGAGTTCCAAACACCTTATGAACACATTTTTAGAACACAATCTCTTCTTAATTTGTAGACTTCTTGACTAATGGAAATAGAAAAAAATGCTCATTAATTTTTGGATTTTCTTTGAATATGATGGTTGTAGTTTCTTATGATGATATTTGTTATGTAACAAAAAGGTACAAGCTGTTCTGTCTCAACACACACTAATCTACAGTTATTTGTGTACAGAGTATTAACCTAAGAACAAATATCTAAAGGTAATTGGGAGATCATAATAAGCTTCATAAAATAACTTTGTAGAAAAAAACATGAAAAATTTGATTCTAGTAATCGACTCTTCAACAGATGTAATCTATCTCTCTACATTCTTTTAGTGATGATATTTTCTAGGAAAAAAACCAGGACTGAGGTCATTCGCAATTTTGCAATAATGTTGATACAGGAAGTAGTTCAGAGGATGTTGGAATTCCTAAGATATTTCCATAATTAATGGGAAAAGTACTTAAGAATATTTGAAAGTAGTACTGTTCTAGAAAAATATCTGCCTTGTCCCTAAGTAGCATTAGCCCTGCAAATAGGCAGAGAACAGGAACCTATCTACATATTATGATGTAAAGGGGCAATACAGAATCCTAATTTCCTATATCATCTCATCTACTGCCATTATTTGAACCTTTTTTCAGGGGTATGAGAAAAGAATACAAATTCTCCAGGAAAAAAATGTTAAAATGTTCATCATATTATGTCTCCAGGGAATATAGGAAGGGCCTCAATTAGGAAGAGCTTATAACTCAAATAATGAGATCTTGACCCAAAGGGAATGAGAAAGCAAATGCCCTAGTAGAAAAAGAACTAGATTAGAATTTAGGAATTTTGAGTTCTGATGCTCATTCTGATATTGTCTTGCTAAGAGATCTTGGGCAACTCATTTAATTATTGGCAGACACAATTTCTCTTACTGTGAAATGGGAATAATAGCAGTGGTCCCTCCCACTGTTCAGCATTATGTTAAGAATAGAAAAATGTTTATTGCCCTGAAAAATTCAAAAGTGCTATAATATGTTATTATTATTAATAAGCAGGATGATAGAATTAAAATCAGGAAAATAATAGGAAAAGCAGAACAGAGGCCCATTTTAGGTTAGCTAGTGTTAATCATAAACATTGATAATATAGGATGAAGGTTCAAAGAAAGGAAAGAGAGGGAAACTTCCAAAGTAATCTTCTACCCCAAGACAGATTAAATGTCCCACCAGGGAAGGCAAGCTGGTGCAGCCACTCTGGAAAACAGTATGGAGGTTCCTCAAAAAGTTGAAAATAGAGCTACCCTATGACCTAGCAATTGCACTACTGGGTATTTACCCCAAAGATACAAATGTGATCCAAAGGGGCACATGCACCCCAATGTTTATAGCAGCAATGTCCACAATAGCCAAACTACGGAAAGAGCCAAGATGTCCATCAACAGATGAATGGATAAAAAAGATGTGGTATATATATACAGTGGAATATTATGCAGCCATCAAAAAACTGAAATCTTGCCATTCGCAATGATGTGGATAGAACTAGAGGGTATTATGCTAAGTGAAATAAGTCAATCAGAGAAAGACAATTATCATATGATCTCACTGATATGAGGAATTTGAGAAACAAGACAGAGGATCATAGGAGAAGGGAGGGAAAAATGAAACAAGACAAAACCAGAGAGGGAGACAAACCATAAGAGACTCTTAATCTCAGGAGACAAACTGAGGGTTGCTGGAGTGGTGGGGGTGGCAGGGATGGGGTGGCTGGGTGATAGACATTAGGGAGTGTATGTGCTATGGTGAGCGCTGTGAATTGTGTAAGACTGATGAATCACAGACCTATACCCCTGAAACAAATAATACATTATATGTCAATAAAAAAAATTGTCCTACCAGGAGGTTGAGGTAAACCATGCAGTAGCTGAAACTTACTTTTACCTAGAATTGGCTGATATCATAATATGAGAGTAAACTAGGTGAGTGGGAAAACATAGATGAACAACAGCAAATGTATGACATCAAAAATTGTAGATACTATTTACTTGTATTTCAAAGCCAAATTGAAATAATGGTAAGGAGAAAGCTCAAGAGCTAACTTGGGCATTTAAAAAGTTTTTCTTTGCTATATTTTTCTAGAGTCTTCAGAAGACTGCTTTTAATGTGCTATAACATCATGTGTGTCAATATCTTGTATGTCTTCACAATTTACCAAAGTAGATGTTTAATCTGAGAAAACTGACAAATTTTAAGCATTATAAAGCCTAAGTTGTGATAATTCTGGGCAAACCACTTCTTTTAGAATCACTCAAATTCTGTCATTTTTACAAATTATTATTTACAAATCCACATAATGAGAGCAGACCATAAATGTTCAGGGTTTTATAATAATAAAATGATTGCCTCAGGAACCAAAGAAAACATGAAATAAGATGATTTTGACATCTCACCTGCAAGTCTGTGATATCCATCCTTCAAAAGTTGCCTTGCCCATAAGGAGACAATTACTGACTTTGTAAAAAAAATCTCCTAAATTTTCTCCATTACTTTAGTTCCAGTAATGAGTCTAAGGTTTAGATTTAATTTGAAGGACACTCCTGAGACGTAATGGAACATTTCCCGTTTTGTCTGGTTCTCAGCTCATCATATGTTACATTCAAAGCTGGAGGTAGAGGCAGAAAAGAAGGAACAAAAAAGAAATACCCCAGTTGCCTTCCATTTCTCTATTCTGTCTTCCATGCCAAAAGAAGTTTCCAGGAAGATACAAGGTAGGGAGAATAGACTGTTCAGGTCACTTTGGGTTTTACATGTCAAAACCCAAATCTAATTAGTTCAGGCAAAAGGGAAATTTATTGAAAGATTACTCAGTTACTTTACATTAAGGGAAAACAAACTATTAGAAAAGGAAAGAGAGGAAGGAGCTGAGCCTCAGGAAATAGATAATCAAAGGCTGCCATGTCTTCCATGTCCTTCACTTTGCCTGTGAACTTCATCCTCCTCTAAGTCCCCTGCAGATGAGCCCTCTCCTCATGGAGGAAGTATGGTCATCAAGAGCAAACAAGTTTAACATCTTACACCACCTATAATTTCAAAATTATAATGTAAAGACTTGGTTTCAGACAGCAGAATCATAGGGGGAAGGATTATGATTGGCCTAGCACGGGTCAAGGGTCTTTCATCTTGGCACGATGGCCAGAGGGCAAGGTGACATGAGAACCAGGCAGCACTGATGGTTCTCTGGGTTTGGAGTGATTCCTGAAGGAAGGTGAGTGGAAAGGAGTCATTCCCTGTAAACAGGGGAGGGTAGAGAGCATTGCTGAAAAGACTAATCAATAGATACTCATTATAAAGAACAAACCAGGAAAACCTGGGGGATGATATTATTTGTTGAGAAATAAACAGATCTTCCTTAGAAACTTAGAAAATTATACCTCTTATTTCTGCCTACTTCTGATTATATTCTGGTAGTACTGTTGGCGAATTTTCCCAACATGCAGCCTCCAATTATAAAAAAGGATTGTGTTCTGAAAATCGACTTCTAAGGGATTTGGATCTCAAAATATATAGAATCAATGCTACAAGTGCTATTTTTTTAGGTCAGTTTATAGAAGTAGAATATAATATGCCTAAATTATTATAATAACAGTCCATTTCAATGTCACTGAACATTCATTACAGTATCTTTCTAAAGGGCCCAGCTTCCACACACCATGGTACATTTTACCTCTTCGTGATTTACCTCATAGTTGACATCAAGCAACCAGATCATGATTGGGTAAGAGAAGGCAGGAAAAGGAACTCTGCTGGGATTCTCAGGCACTCTCTGTGTCCGGTGCAGTATGATGCAGAGAATATGGAATGAAAGTCTCACAACCTGTGTTCTAGATTGAGTGACTGCTACTTGCTGTGAGACTTCAGAAAACAGGTCTTGGTTTTCACATCTTAATATGATGGTGGTGGTGGTGGTGGTGATGGTGTGTGTGTATGTGTGTTAGGGGTAAGTTGGACTGCTGTTTCAATTCAAGACTGCCTTTTAAAGTGCTTTCAACTCTTGTACTTCTGTGATTGAGAAAATGCACTTTCTTACAGCACTATTGCTACTTAAGGGACAGCAGCTCTTTGAGCTAAGTTATATGGGGAGGGGACTAGAAGGGAAGTGGACCAGGAGCACAGGCTATTTTCCCTCTGTGTCCATTGGTTTATATGTTTTTCTTAATAAACCCTCTGGCTGACGGGGGGTCTGGCCACTCTCCTTTTCTGAGGTTGCCTGTATTAACAAATGAAGTAATGCCAAAACAGAATTGCAAAAAGGATAGATTTGTCAATATTTTCATTTGACACCACAAAACTTATGATAAGATACAATTAAATTATTCATAAATATATTCATAAAAAAGAATAATTCATGGCATAATCCAGGTAGAATGATCCAGTAGTCAAATGTCTGTGAAGTTTAATGAGATATACTTTAAAAAAATTGTCAATAAATTTGTCAATAAATATCTGTGATTGTATACATGGACTCATTTGGAGAAAAATATCAAAAGTTTAATTCATGGCCAATTGTGCATAAGAGACACTAGCCAAATGACCCTCTGGCATTTTGTGTGAGAGATGCTGCTGCCTTGTGTTAGTAAATTGGAGACTATTTCTAGTCAGTGTATCAAACCAAAAATAAAAATGCTGTTTATTCTCAATAATTTCATGTTATTTCTAAAAATCTGGTGATTACCTTATCAGTTATCTATATATTTTTTCCTCAGAGTTCTATTATTTGAGGGAGAAATAAAAATAAGTAACTCAGAAAAGTTAAATAGATAGATGTACAGTAAATTTGGGGAACATATTGAAATGATTTTATATCATTTGGGGGTGTAATAAGCCATAAACATACTTTAAGAGAATTCTTCCTCTCAAACTATGGGTTTAAATGAAATTCAACATGGGGTTTGAAAAACTTCAATTTTTATTAATAATTTTAGAAGTTTTCTAAAACAAAGATAATAAATTTTTATAAAGTTTTTTTTAATGTTTTTATTTATTTATTCATGAGAGTCAGAGAGAGAGAGAGGCAGAGGCAGAGGGAGAAGCAGGCTCCCCGCCTAGCAGGGAGCCCGATGTGGGACTCTATCTCAGGACCCTGGGATCATGACCTGAGCCGAAGGCAGACGCTTAACCATCTGAGCCACCCAGGTGCCCAAAGATAATAAATTTTTATAAATTGAATGCAATGTGTATACACCGAAACTAAGATTGTTTACTTTTTTAAGAGAAGAATTTGAAAATTCAAAAGCCATGATTTTAGAGCAATTGATTTATAATGTCTGAGCGTGTTGGGGGGATTCCAATTTTGGTAATGAAAAGAAATTTATTTTAGGTAAGAAATTAAGGAAATTAGGTAAGTGCATACTTCCCCCTCCAGTTATTACATTTGAATATCATAAAATAGAAATAACAGAAAATTACAATTTGAAGGAAAAAATTTTATTAACTTTTTTCTTCCTTACGTAAACCATATAAAATTGCTACTGCCTGTAGAATGAGTACACAATTGCTCCTTTGCATCACGTATTCTTAAAATCAGAACTTAAGAAGAAATAAAACGGTATCAGCTCATCTAAGGAGAGTTTGCTAAAGATATGTAAGAAGAGATACTGTGATTTTACATATGGGAGACAAGTGGAACAGACCAACTGTAGGGCAGCACATCAAAGAAGAAAGTAGGTCAGCGAGCCCCATGGCAATACAATGAATTGCTGTTATTTAAAGGGATGGTCAGAGAGTTAAGCTGCCGGTGAACAAGAATGCCTACGAGAACAATGGTAAATGAACAGAAAAGCAGGGTCAGAGCAAAACAGTTGCAAGGCTCAGAGTGTGAACTGCATGTCCTTGGGTCGGGTAGAGGATGAAACAGCAGAACAATGTCATCATTCAGAAGCTTCCTGGCGGCAAGCAAGCTGCATAATGAGAAGCAAACTGAGCTGAGGCCCTCCACAGACAAAGTGGAGGAAAACAGCCTCAGGATATGGAGTGAACTGAGCACAATTTGAGACTGGATGTTAACTAGCAAGTCATCAGGATTAGTACTTTCCTGAAGATTTTAAGTAACAAGAGAAACACTGGGGAGACCTCAGTACTTAAATCCATTTGTTGTAAAAGCTATATACCCAGTGGGATTAATTACCTGTGTTTGGGTATCAGAGCAACATTATATACTGGGACAAGTACCATTTCTTGTTTCCATCTTTAAGATTTACTACATATTTTCTTGAATTGTAATTGCTAAGTAAGTCCAAAAAAGTATAGGAGTCTGAGAAGAACAAACTAACTTCAGATCGAGAACACTCTAATTTTTCTGCCATAGAAGATATGACTTATATTGGTGGAGCAGAATTTCATTCATCTGAAAAAAAAATGACGAGGTTGAAAATTCTGTATACTTTGAATGGGAAATACTTTTAATGAAAGTGAGATTGAAGTCAGTTATTTCTTCACTTAAAATGAACTGAGCATCTATGCTATTAAGGCATTGTTCCAGAAGTGAAAAAATTTAATGATTTAAATAGAAAAATAAAATGTTTTTCAGGAAATGTTAAAGCTTACTTAAGAAATGTGGTTAAAAGTTTTATGTGAAAGTGATCTTCAAGGTTGTAAGCTTTTTTGTCTGTTGTGTTTCATTGTCTAGGTTCAGACATTAGGAATATAAAGTTGGGTTTTATCTCAATTGTAGTTTTGTCAGCTATAATGCTCTGCTTTATTTCTGATAATTTTCCTTGCTTTGAAGTCTATTCAGTCTGAAAGCATAATCAAACCAACATGAGTTCCCTCCTTGGTGAGTTATAGATAAATCAGGTGGAGTTGTCACACAAAGTCAACTTTATTTTTGCAACAAATAAGGAGATCACGGGGAGTAACTTCCAAAGCCACGATTCCCTGAACAAGGGTGGATGGGTTCCTTTTATTTAGGGTTAGGATAAATATTTTAAAAGGGGAGCCTTGTCACCTTGTAGAGGCAGGAGTAAGATTGTGCCTTAAGGAAACATGCCTATACATACATTGTATGTAATGTAAATGAGGCTTGTGCTTCTCCTTGGGCAGAGATTTTAGTTTTACAATGATTTAAGTGTAATTGTTGGTCATTCTAGCGGTCACCCCATGGTCCATCTGTGCAGGCCCAAGTTGGGGTTACGCTCAAACTGGTCTGGTGGTCTGGGCAGTCACTCTCACTCAAGGGGCAGTTTAGCTTTCCATTTACCTGAGTTTAGGGATAAGCTGGAAAAAAGAGTTTAAAGAACAATGTGGGACAGAGATAAATTAGTACAAGCAGGTGGGCGTAAGGTCAGGTCTTGTGGTCTAGCTGGTGAAAAAGTAATATGGCTACTCCTGCTTTCTTTGTTTTGTTTGTTTGTTTCAGATTTTATTTATTTATTTGAGAGAGAGACACAGTGAGAGAGTGAACACAACCAGGGGGAGTGGGAGAGGGAGAAGCAGGCCTCCCGCTGAGCAAGGAGCACGATGTGGGGCTCCATCCCAGGACCCTGGGATCATAACCTGAGCCAAAGGCAGACGCTTAACGACTGAGCCACCAAGCCCCTCCTGCTTTCTTTGATTAATGTTAACAAAATATATTTTCTCCACCCATTTATACTTTTAATCTGTACATATCTTTATATTTAAAGAAATTTATTTTTTTTAAAGATTTTATTTATTTTATTTGAGAGAGAGAGAGCAAGAGCTAGCATGAGCAGGGGAGAGGCAGAGGGAGAAGCAGACTCCTGGCTGAGCAGGGAGCCCCATGGAGGGTTCAAACCCAACACCCCAAGATCATGACCTGAGCCAAAGGCAGTCGCTTAACCAGCTGAGCCATCTAGGTGCCCCTATTTAAAGAAATTTCTTATAGACAATCCATAGTTGGGTGTTACATTAGTAAATACCATGCTTTCTATTTGTTGCCCTTGTTCTTTGTCTCTATTTTTGTCTTCCACTCTTTCTTTGCCTTTTGTAGTTTTTATGGAGCATTTTGTATCATTCTATTTTCTCTCCTTTCTTAGTCTATTGGTTATACTTTTTAAAAAAAATTTTTGGTGGTTGTCCTAGAATTTGCAATATACATTTACAACTAATCCAAGTCTACTTTCGAATAACACTATACCATTTCACAGATAGTGTGAATCTCTTATAATAATGCAATAATCTTATTCTCTCTTGTACCTTATATCATCACTGTCATTTATTTCACTTATATATAAGCATGCATAAACATATAACATATATACATAAGCATACATAAATGAATACATTGTTGCTGTTATTGTTTTGGAACATCAGCTGTTAGATCAACTAAGAATAAGAAAAGTTAAAGTTTTTATTTTATCTTCATTTACTCTTTCATTGATGATCTTCCTTTCGTTATGTAGATCCATGTTGCTGATCTATGTTACTTTCCTTCTGTCTAAAGAATTTCAACATTTCTTGCAAGGCTGGTGTACTGGCAACAAATTCACTCAATTTTTGTTAGTCTGAGAAAGTCTTTATTCCTCCTTCATTTTTGAAGGATATTTTCACAGTGTACAGGATTATAGGTTGCTGGGTTTTTCTGTCAACATTTTAAATATTACTCTTCACTCCTCTCTTGCATAGTTTCTGAGGAGAAGTTGGTTGTGATTCTTATCTCTATTCCTCTCTAGGCAAGATGTTTTTTTCTTCCAGCTTCTTTCAGTATTTTTTAAAATTTTTGTTATGTTAATCACCATACATTACATCATTAGTTTTTGATGTAGTGTTCCATGATTCATTGTTTGTGCATAACACCCAGTGCTCCTCAGTATTTTTTTTCTTTCTTTTTTTTTTTCTTTGATTTTCTATAGCTTGAATATTATATACAGAGGTGTAGTATTTTGGGCATTTATCCTGCTTGGAATTCTC